TCTATTTTAGGTTTTCCTATTTATTCTTAGTAACAAAAAATACTCTGATTTATTAATCTAAATATACCTCACCGCCGTGGAAGTTTAGTCACGGGGTGTTACCACGAAATATTGGGTTTTCTCTTTCTCTCTCTAGATCTCTCATCTCTTTCTCTTGAAAGTTCTTGTATTCTTCATTCATCTAGTGTGTGTGCGTGAATTCGATCCTAACAATAGGTCCTCGATAAAATTAAAGTGTGTACTAGAAGGGCATTGGATCAGAAATGTAATCTGTTGTTCGATACTTGAGGGCATATGAGCTTGTTTGTTTAGATTGTCAAGAGCATTATCGACCAAATCGGGTAGCAATGCATTTTGGATATGATCAAGATTTACGTAAATAGATTCCTCAATCGCCTTCAAGTCCAGAACTTAGCCGAACTATTGATTCTAATTTGAGGTTATACTATCCGTCTACGCTATTTGAACCGGATGTAACTACACATTATTTTAAATGGTGGAGAAAAGACAATTATTTTTAGATGATGCATTGAAAGGATTGTCTCTAATACAAAGGTAATTAATCACCGGAAGTCAAGTGAGAATAAGGGGACGACTCTTCCTAGATTTCCTTAAATAAATTAATGAGTGATACTTCTCGATTATATTTGTACGATGTGTCTTTTCTAGATTTACCCATAGCTACGAATTCCCTCATTTGGACAAAATAACTCGTTCCCTTCATTTCACTAACTTTCCTATTTACTCATTAATTAGGGGAGCGGTGTTAATCATCATTTTAAACCTTTAATATAATGCTCCAAGAAATGTGTGTGTATATATATATATATATATATATATATATATATATATATATATTAATCACTTCTATAAAGAAGCTAGCTTTGTTAATGGTAAACTAGCTAGCATTAGAGAGGAACCTTCTTGGAGGCTAAGGTTTATCTAATCTTTTGTGTTATGATATAGAATTGATTTGGTTCTTGAAGTTGTACAAGTGGTTACCAAATGAATTATAACTACGTGCACATTGATTTGGTTTTTGAAGTTGGAACTTAATTTGAAGGGAAAGAGTAATGCTTGTGGACTTTATTGAGATATATGTATCCTAGATAAAAATCATTATTTATGATTGAACACGACTATATGTATAGCCATGGTACTAATAAAACTACAATCATATTATTATAACTTCATTTTATCGTTGATCCTTGCATTGTGCGAGAATACAACAAAACATATAACGAAAAGTTATTTCATAGAATTAGCTGCCAAAAGGCCTTTGGTTGCCGCAATCAAGATTGTCACCAGGACTAACTCCAAGAATTCTGCAATGCCTCCTATAAAACCCAATTCGATCTTGTACCCTGTTGTCATTACCACGACCACATTCTAGGCCACCATTGATGATATTGATGATGACACCAAATCCAGGAAGACGATTGGCTGATCAGTCACCGGCAGATGGGTTCCATCTTCCAATAATGACATCGTGGCGAGAAGGCTTTGGTGATTGAGGGGTCATCCAGAACCAGATAGTTGTCTTGAATGATTTTGCCTTCTATTAACATAGAGAATTTTTATATATTCATGTGAAGTTGACCTATAACATAAGATAATTATTAACTCTCTATATAAACTCAAAGATTATTACTTGAAAAAGAAAGAAACAACCTATTAGAACAAATGATATTATACATATATATCATGAAACATTCCTCACATTATCAATATATAAAATTTATGCCTCAAAACTTTAAATAGCATTTATGTCATAAAAATGAACAGGCAAAATCTCAAAATAAAATACAAAAGACAAACCTGAAATAATGAGAAGGAAACAAAGAGCAAAGTTAAAAAATTTGGCCATTCTTACTCAAAACTAATCTCAAGTTAATTTCTATGGTATACTGTTGTACAAAGTGCAAGAGACTATTTATAGTGTGTTTTTGTAACATTTTGATAAATAAAAATGGATAATAAATAAAACTAATTTATTTTTTGTCCATTTATAACTCATTTCCTTGTTGAAAAGTTATGGAAGGTTGTTCACTTCTTTTACTAGGATAAGATCTTTTAGAGCTTATAAGGTAACATAATTATTACATTCTAATTCATAATCATATATACGTTCTATGTCTAATATGTTAGAATAAAATGAAAAATGTGTATATATTTTTCCTAAACTGATTAAAAGATCCTACTTAAAAGAATTGATGATTTTTCAATCTTAAAAATTATTATTATTTCATTTTTATACAACTAATAGGTAGTACCAAAAAATATTTGAGAAAGAGATAACTTGTATATTATAAGTGTTGTAAGGAAAATATCAATAATTAATATTGTAGTATCGTTTTATGAAAATTAAAATTATATTGACGTGGTTTACACAACAATAAGATACCAAGTGTAATTCACAACTGATATCTTGAGAGATACAAAGTAGCTTAATGCACACTTTTTATCCTTACCTTGATGGGTAAAAATGTCATTTTTGAAAACCTCAGCTCAAAATATAAGTATTCAATGAACGATTAAATAAAATAGCAAAATACAAAATGAATGACTAATATATCATAGCAATACGCATAATGATGAGAAATTAACAGATATCACTAAATGGAGAAGAGAGGAGGAGGCTAGGCCCCTACTTCTATCATTGCACGATCATAACACTATATTATTCACTAACCTTCTATCATTATCATCAAACTTCATTCACATGAAGGGTTAATTGGTAATTTTTTAGCCAATTAGTGGATAAGTATATTTCCCTCCAAAGGATTTGTAAATTATTTATTAGAATATATGTCAATTAAAACGTTGTATGCAATGAAAAATGAAGTGATATGATGATTTAATAGTTTTAGTTAATTATTACTCCCTTTTATACTATAACAATCTATTTTATCGTGATTTAAGAGTTGATAAAAATATAAAATAGAAAATATATTATAAGTGACAACAAATTCTCTATTCTCTATTTTATCCTTAAAAATACACTTATACGTTATATGCTAGCATATTTTTTTCTGAACAAGCAGTAATTCCCTAGGATAACAGTTACAACAAATTCTCTATTCTCTTTGGGTCTTGAGACCTGTTGACAGTGTGCTCCTCATGAAGTTTGTTGATTTATTTTTCCTACGTGGAGCAACGACCTTTTAATTCCTCTATTTGGTATACTAAAAGGGAAGTTATTAAGATATGTGTCACCCCCCCCCCCAATGAAACAAGAGAAATAACTCTTTCGTCTTCCAGTCCTTGCTCCTCTTAGTAAGGACAAGCTTGGATCTGTAGTGATTTGATATGACTAATGTACTGAAAAATTGGTTTCTAAGCATAAATATTTAAAAATCATACATTTAATATCAAATTGTCATAGACACCAATGAAGAAGCATTATTCAAATTACCAACTTGCATCAGACTATATTTTACTATGTTCCCCGTTTTTCATTTCATCTCTCAATTAAGTGAATGTATTATTTGATATCTATTCCACCTCTCAGAAAAGAAGGTGCTCAATGAAATACAACATTCGTTCCCAACACTGACAAAATATCATAAGGAAATATAGATTTTTTTTTTTTTTTTAGGAAATATAGATTCATTGTGATGCTTAAGCATTTGATCAAACATGGAATTTAAGAAAATGAGTATTGGTCATTTTTAAACGGTTATAATTCCTAGATCACGATGAGTTAGATGTTCTTCTAGGTATTGGTGGAAAGATCTTGTAATAATCTTTTCAACGCCGCCGAATTTGTGCGATTTCGATATCGTATGAGTGAGTTATGTCTTTCGAAAGTTAGGTTGCAGGATTGAAGAAAATCTTGATCCGACTTTAGGGAAAGACAAACTAGTCTTTTCATAATTCATATGAAATTGATTGCATTTTTTTACATGGTACCTTATTGAGTATCTTATTAGCCATAAGGATGGCTTCCCCCCCAAGGTTTCGTGGTGAACCAAAACTGATTATCAAGGCATTCATCATTTCCTATAATATTTTGTTCTGTATTCTGCCAAACCATTCCACTAGTATAGGGTGCAGGGATTTAAAATAATAATATCATATTTTAAACGTATCTCTGCAAAAGGAGATTCGTATTCTCCACTCATATAACTCTGAATCATTTTTATATTTATATTCAATTGATTCGCTACTTCATTTTTGTATTGCTTAAATGCATCAATTGCTTTATCCTTACTGTAAAGAAAATACACATAAAAAATTGAGTGCAATCATCAATAAATGTTATAAATACTTTCCCACCATGAAATGGTGTCGTCTTCATATTGCATATTCTGTTCGAGTTAAGTCTAAAGGTTTTGAATTTCTTTTAACAGACTTATAAGGATGTTAAACAAACTTACTTTCTACACAAATTTTGCATTTAAATTTATTGCATTTAAAATCATGCAATACTTCTAAAGTAATCAATTTCCGCAAGGCTTTGTAATTTACATATCCCAAATAGTCATGCCATAAATCATTTGACGCGAAATAAGTAAAAAAATGCAGAATCTTATTAATACTATCAATAACCATTAGATTCAGTTAGAAGTGACTCTCAATGAGATAGCTCTTTCCTAAGAACATCTCATTCTTACTTATTACATCTTTGTGACTAACCACGACACACTTAAACCCGTTCTTAACGAGTAGTGCAGCAAAAACTAAATTCTTTCTAATAGTAGGAATGTGCAGAACGTTTCTCAAATCTTTCTGACCACAAAATTTTTCAAGCATGCATCTTCTTGTATTATATTTCTTCTCAAGTGCATCCCACAACTCTTTCGAAGTTGCCATTACACTATAGACATTATATAGGTCATCCTCTAAAGTACTTAGAATGTAGTTTTTACATAGGGAGTCTACCCGTTTCCATGCTTCAATGATCATGAACTTTTTATGTCTGATATATCAATAGTTGGCACTGGATTTTCTTCGTTGATAAATTTCTGCAGACCAAGAACAGTAAGCTAGAAAAATACCCATTCTTGCCATCCTTTGAAATTCACATCAGAGAATTTTCTCGATTTCATTGGTGGTATAGCAGTTCGGGTTGGTGCAGCAACAGTTACCGTCACATTATTGTTTGCCATTACAAAATCTGTAACAAACATAAATTAATACAGCTGGCTCAGTAAGTGATAACTTAAATTGCAAACTTACCAGGAATATAAAACCACGAAGGTTTTTGTCTCCACCAGAAACACAAATTTAACAAAAAAATATTAATTTCCTTAAGATTGTTATCAATCAGTTTTTAAAACAAAAATACTGATTACCAGAAACTTTGTAGAAACATGAGGTTACAAAAGTTTTCAATGAATCAGTGAAGAATAGAAGAACAAATAAAATTTGATAAGCATACCAACCCCTTATGGAAACTATTCCCTATAGTATCCAAGGTTTGATTTGGAATATGTCTTGTGTATTGATACCCAAAACGTTGGTGTAAGCGAGTCACTCAACCGTAGTAACATACACAAAAAATTTTGTGCAGAAGAAGAAGTAATCAGAAACTTTCGTAAGTAAAAAGTCTGAAGATTAACTGGTATTTATAGTAAAAAGTAACTGGTTCCAAAAGGTTGTAACCTTTTCAGAATCCACACGACCATTTAGATTTGCAACCTTAAACGGTCATGGTTGTTCCTGAATGTTTTAACCTTTCATAATAATATCCAACGATGAGAAATTCAAATAAACAACAAAGAATTTTAAATAAAATGGGTTTGCGCGTGGATCTGAGTTGGGTCAGTCAATTAACTAAATAATTGAAACTTTTCTATCAATTAACTAAACAATTGAAATGGTTTGGCCATTAATTGAATTTAATAAATTAATTAAATTTACCTAAATAATTAAAACAAAACTTTGTCCAAAAAATAATCTATCGATCATTTTTTCAAAGCCAAAATCGAGACGAGCGAGCGACGACGGCGTGAGGAGAATCCCTCTTTTTAACCCTTTTTAAAAATTAATTGAAGTGTTTCTCTATTTAACTTATCTATTTTACTTTCCTCCGTCGATGAGGGAGAAAACTTTTTTACTGAAGCATAAGAAGACTTTTCAAGTTTCCAATTTTCAAAATTCCTCTCTTCATCTTCCCTCCATTTACCATTAACTCTTGCTATATACCCAACAGTATAATGGAGGTGTGTGAGGCAAAGAGTGTCAAGAGTTAGTAGTCTTGTATCTGGGGGAAATCTCTATGTGATAGAAGGGATCTAATATGAGAGGGATGAATCTTTGATGTATAGTACTCATATAGGTTTTGTGGAAATATTATTTTGGATTATCTTATACAAAAATGAATAATAATAATCACATAGATTGGGACATGCAAGTTCATAACTACACTAAATTATTTAGTAGGTTTAAAAATAAATAAAAATAATCACCCCATACCAAAGAAATGTATTTATGTATTAAATTATATTTTAATATTAAGTTTAAATAAAGACACATTTAAATATTTCTCTTAGGCTTGGATTCATTAAAAAGACTACAAATCAATTTCAGGTTTAGAAACTAATTTTATATAACAATTTAGTGACCTTGCATATACTCATCAGAGGCGTCTCACAACGTTTGATGGAATTGTGTCACACAATAGTCGAGGATCTACTTTCGTATAAGGTTTCAGGAAAGGGAGGAAGATTTTAGATTTGAAGTTTGATAACAAAAATGCCCTTCACTAATTTTTTAATTCAAAAATGGCTTTGACTAACTTCTAAAATTAAATCAATAAATATAACTAAACTACACTTGATACATAATTAGATATTACAACTTACTATTCTCTATTTCTCAACGAGCTTTATTGTTAATCCAAAATACCCTTTAAAAGTTGAACAACAAAGTTATATTTTATTTTAGGGATAATGCATAAATACCCCCTCAACATATGACCGAAATCTCAGATGCACATTTATTTTATACTAAGGTCCTATTACCTCCTGAACTTATTTTATTAATAATTTTCTAGCCCTTTTCGGCCTACGTGACACTATCTTGTGGGCCCAATGCTGGTTGATTTTTTTTCAAGCTAGCGCCATGTAGGCCGAAAAGAGGTAGAAAATTACTTATAAAATAAGTTCAGGGGGTAATAGAACCTTAATATAGTATAAGTGTGTCTCTGAGATTTTGGAAATAGGTTGATGGAGTACTTATGCATTTTTCCTTTACTTTAAAGTAAAATGTTTACATATTTCCCCCGATGAATTAATTAAGAATTTTTCTTAGTATAGACTACCATGGTCACTTCAAATTTGTGCTTAGGAAAACATTTCAGTTTGAGTTAATGGATTTCTATTAAAATGGCAAACAAAATGTTGTACATTAATGTTAGACTATTTGCTTTTATATAAATGGACTTATACGTCAAGAATATGATCACTAGAAAATATAATAGGAGCAATGAAAATGAACCATGTATGTTTATTTCTCTGTTAAACTATTTTTAATACAAGTCTACTAATAGATTTATAATATTAAAAATTAAAATATATTATAAGATCCTCCAAAGAAATTAGAATGGATTGAAATTGTAATCTTTCTTTACAATTTGATGTGTGGGTGCATGTATAATGTATATGTGGGTTCCTTGTTGGTAAGTTTTTTTTCTCATTTCATCAATATTATATCATGTTTTTAATTTATAATTTATTTTATTAATATATTGATTTGTGTAACTTATTTCATTTTATATGATATGGTGATATGTAAATTTTGATATAACAAATATTTTTTCTTTAACATTCCTCATATATTAGACAACACATCGACATAAAACACTTATATAATTTGAGCAGAAATTACTCAAGTTTGAATAATTAGATCTACCTTTGAAATGGAGATTTTTTACTTGGAAAGTACATGTTTTGCTACTTACATGGTATGAATTCAGTTCAGTTGCATAATTAGGTTTCATAATCAGAATTTTAAATTAAAACATAATAAAATATATGTTAGAAAAGGATTAAAAATTCATTCTCTTTTATAAAGAACAACCTTCAAGTAAAACTACTTACAAATCATTTTTGAAATAAAAATTAATTTAGAGAATTTAACTAATCAAGGTTACAATTGTAAACACAAGTACAAACATATTTTCCAATAGTACCATCACTTGAGTAAAGACCATTTCCATTGTATTTCTGAAAACATTCTTTTTTGCAATCCGAAAGAACACATCCTTTTGGATTCAAAATTTTCATACATCTGTGTTGTGCATTCACTTGACTAATATCCAATGCAACTGCAATCAAATTCACGAAAAATAATATTCACCACACACATGTAAAAAAAAGGCTTGAATTGTTTATTTTCATCATAAGTTTGATTGTGCCTTATATTAACATAGAGAATTTTTATATATTCATCTGAAGTTGACCTATAACATAAGATAATTAACTCTATATATAAACTCAAAGATGATTACTTGAAAAACAAAGAAACAACCTATTAGAACCAATGATATTATACATATATATCATGAAACATTCCTCCCATTATCAATATATAAAATTTATGCCTCAGAACTTTAAATAGCATATATGTCATAAAAATGAACAGGCAAAATCTCAAAATAAAATACAAAAGACAAACCTGAAATGATGAGAAGGAAACAAAGAGCAAAGTTAAAAAAAATTGGCCATTCTTAATCAAAATTAATCTCAAGTTAATTTCAATGGTATACTTTTGTACAAAGTGCAAGAGACTATTTATAGTGTGTTTTTGTAACATTTTGATAAATAAAAATGGATAATAAATCAAAATTATTTATTTTTTGTCCATTTATAATTCATTTCCTTATTGAGAAGTTATGGAACGTTGTTACAATTTTTGATTAGGATAAGATCTTTGAGAACTTATAAGGTAACATAATTATTACATTCTCATGCAATTTGGATATGATCAAGACTTACCTAAATGGATTCCTCAATCGCCTTCAAGTCCAGAACTTAGCCGACCTATTGATTCTAGTTTGAGGTTATACTATCCGTCTAGGTTGTTTCAACCGGATGTAACTACACATTGTAATGGTGGTGAAAAGACAATTATTTATAGATGATGCATTGAAAGGATGGTCTCTAATACAAAGCTTATTAATCACTGGAAGTCAAGTGAGAATAAGGGGACGATTCTTCCTAGATTTCATTAAATAATTTAATGAGTGAGACTTCTTGATTTGGTTATGATATAGCATTGATTTGGTTCTTGAAGTTGTACAAGTGGTTACCAAATGAATTATAACTACGTGCACATTGATTTGGTTTTTGAAGTTGGAACTTAATTTGAAGGGAAAGAGTAATGCTTGTGGACCTTGAAAATGAGTCATTTTTATGGTGACCAACCAGCTCCATAGATAAGGTTTTAATTGACGTTCATGTAAATATTTGGGAAAAATGATCTCGGAATTCAAGATAACAAAAAATAAATGGTGGACTATAGCACCCAAATATCGTCAAAATGGGGTGGAGTTTACTTGCTCGGGGGCTTGTTTGACCTTTAAAATGACCTGTTTTGTCCGTGGTGGTGACCAATTGTCTCCATAGATTAGGTCTTAACGGACTTCCATGCTAATTTTTGACAAAAATAATCTCAAAATTCTGAATTATCAAAAAAAATGGTGGACATTTCATATATATATATATATATATATATATATATATATAGATAGATAGATAGATATATATATATGAACCTCTTTTTTAAAGAGACTATAATAATAGCTTCATCAAATGAACCAAAAAGTAATGGAGACAGATTTGACATTATTGACCTTAGTCTTTTGGTGCCATTGTTCTTTGTTCATGGGCTTGGGAGAGGTTGTACCTTTGCAGCCAGATCAGGCTCGCAATAACAATATGGTTAATGGGGTGAGAATACGACGATGACACAATATGAAACAACTATGTGTAATTAATGTCAGAACGGAGGACTACTATTGATTTCTCTGGAGAGACGTTTCAGTGGAGGCCATACGCCTTGGATGTGGAAGGTTTATTAATTCCCAATTCTTACAAGGGAAAAAAAGAGTGGACAATAGTTGAAGTGCAAACTTTGGATCAGAAATGGAATTTGTTTTTTGATGCTTGAGGGCATATGATCGACCAAATCGGATAGCAATGCAATTTGGATATGATCAAGACTTACCTAAATGGAATCCTCAATTGCCTTTAAGTCCAGAACTTAGCCGGCCTATTGATTCTAAGTTGAGGTTATACTATCCGTCCAGGCTGTGTGAACCGGATGTAACTACACATTATTTGAAATGGTGGAGAAAAGACAATTATTTTTAAACGATGATTGAGAGGATTGTGTCTAATACAGAGCTAATTAATCACCGGAAGTCAAGTGAGAATAAGGGGACGACTTTTCCTAGATTTCATTAAATAAATTAATGAGTGATACTTCTCGATTATATTTGTACGATGTGTCTTTTCTAGATTTACCCATAGCTACTAATTCCCTCATTTGGACAAAATAACTCGTTCCCTTCATTTCACTAACTTTCCTATTTACTCATTAATTAGGGGAGCGCTGTTCATCATCATTTCTAACCTTTAATATAATGCTCCAAGATATATATATATATATATATATATATATATATATATATATTAATCACTTCTGTAGAGAAGCTGGCTTTGTTACTGGTAAACTAGCTAGCATTAGAGAGGAACCTTCTTGGAGGCTAAGGTTTATCTAATCTTTTGTGTTATGATATAGCATTGATTTGGTTCTTGAAGTTGTACAAGTGGTTACCAAATGAATTATAACTACGTGCACATTGATTTGGTTTTTGAAGTTGGAACTTAATTTGAAGGGAAAGAGTAATGCTTGTGGACTTTATTGAGATATATGTATCCTAGATAAAAATCTTTATTTATTATTGAACACGACTATATATATAGCCATGGTACTAATAAAACTACAATCATATTATTATAACTTCATTTTATCGTTGATCCTTGCATTGTGCGAGAATACAACAAAACATATAATGAAAAGTTATTCCATAGAATTAGCTGCCAAAAGGCCTTTGGTTGCCGCAATCTAGATTGTCACCAGGACTAACTCCAAGAATTCTGCAATAGCTCCTGTAAAACCCAATTCGATCTTGTACCCTGTTGTCATTACCACGACCACATTCTAGGCCACCATTGATGATGTTTGTGATGACACCAAATCCAGGAAGACGATTGGCTGATCGGTCACCGGCAGATGGGTTCCATCTTCCAATAATGACATCGTGGCCAGAAGGCTTTGGTGATTGAGGGGTCATCCAGAACCAGATAGCTGTCTTGAATGAGATGACTGGATCTGTGGCTGCTAAATCAGGATTGTTTAAAAGGTCCACTCCGATGGCTCTTCCACATGGCCCATAGTTGTAGTTGCTGTTTTTAAATGTGAAAATACACATAATAAGACACTACAAGAATTTTCGATGCTTAAGCATTTGATCAAACATAGAATTGGAGATGACGCTTCTGAGGTCCCCACCAGTATCAGGACCAGGACCAGGGCCGCCACCTGGACACTGACTTTGACAATTGCCAGAAGCACAATGGTCATTAGTGTTACCGCACCACCCGAATTTGCTGCAACATTGTCCCGACGCACAAACTTTGCCTCCGCCCTGTGAACCACAATTCTGTGCTGAGGCAGCACTCAGCAAAACCAGAGAAAATACTAAAGAAAAAGTAGTGAATTTAGAAGTTTTCCTCATTTTGAATGTGATGGCAAACATGTTGCAAACTGAAATATATTTATAGGCAACTGCTTGTGAGGAATCAGTGATTTTTGTTACAAAATTGATAGTCCGTCCTGTCTTATATTGAATGACAGCTTTACTTTATTAGTATTTACCTGGGTGTAAATCATTTGAAATTAAAAGAGACGGGGCGACGGCTTTGGTCGTTATTCCTGACTTTTCTCTACATAATTTAGACTGGAGACTATAGTTGCTGGATATTTTTTTTGGACTCTCTTATTATGTCTTTCCATGAAAAGGTATCAATTAGCAAAAAAAAAAAATATAATTCAGATAAATTTTAGTAGATATGATATGCTAAAGATGTAGGTTCCGAGTTCGAGTCTGTTTCTGTGTGATTGCTCTTATTCGTCGTCCCGACGGACCCTCACTTTCCAATTTCTGTTAGTTTTGTTCTATTTGAGAACAAATACACCGAGTCTTGTAATTATATTTTATTTTTCGCACTTTATGTAGTGGTGGCTTGTACATGTAACAATTAAGTTTTGGGGTTATAATCGAATGAATATGTTTTCCGCTCTCATATTATTCTTGCTTTACTTTCCACATTTCTTTCGTTTAATTGGATTAAGACCGACTTTCCTTGGTGAAAATAAACGAGTGTCATCACATCCATTTTTGAATCGTAACACGTATCGAACATCATTCTTTTGTATATGTTGAAAGAAAATACATATAAATGCATGTACTTTTAACCAAGTGCACCCACACTAATATACGTAGCTCTGACCCAGTGAATATATTCAAAGATAAATACTTTCCATAATATTGATGATTTAGCAGCCCTAGTCATAGACATTTTCAAATTAAAATAATTATCTAAGGGAGTAGGGTTAGAAGAAATATGGCCGGCTGGGTCAAAGTTACATAATTTGAAAAGGGGGATTGGGCTACTAATTCTACTCTTCCCCCTTAACTCCGTACTTAATTGGGATAATTGTATAGAATGACAAATTAATAATATAAAATAAATACAATAGCTATCGTTTGATTTATTTGTATTCCATAACAAACTGTTTGTTAGTCCCTCTCTCCCTCTTATTCTCGCTCGCCACTCTCCCTCTCTTGCTCGCTTCTTATCGCTCGACTCTCTCTCTTTATACAATAGAATTGTATAAATTGTGTTTCTATTTGTATAAAGCGAGAAAAATTGTATATATACACATGCAAATACATATATCTCCGTCCTATACACTTATAATTATACAATACAAATATTTCCATGCCCAAGTCTCTTTTGCCTTTCTCTCTTTCTCTTTTTATACAAATTCAAATTGTATATTATTTCTCTGTTTCTCGTTTTATACAGTTCGATTCAATTGTATATTCCCTGCCCAAGTCTCTTTAGCCTTTCTCTCTTTCTCGTTTTATACAAATTCAAATTAATTATATATTATTTCTCTATTTCTCGTTTTATAAAATTCGATTCAATTGTATACAAAATCAAATTTATACAGATATACAAACACATACAGTTGATTGAGAGGCTAACTACCATTTATACAAACGAGAGGCTAACAACAATTATACAAATGAGAGGCTAACAACAATTTATACAAATGGTCTGCCAGTAAAATCATACAAATCTGAAAAGGAACCAACAAATTATACAATTACTTCTTTGTATATATGTATAGCGAAATAGGTAGAGCTTTCAGTAGTATATGTATAGCGAATTATACATATATATGTTTGCTATGGAGCGCAATTATGTAAACTTTGTTATGACATACAAATTTTTCATTAGGTGTTTGCTATATGTGAAAGCTGCCCTACTTAATTTGAGAGAAAAAGCATAAATTCATTCATGAACTTGTTATGAAAAATCAGTTACACGCTTATACTATAGTGACGACATATCACACACATGAATTACTTAAAAGTGAATTTATTTCAACCTGAACGCACATACAACGAGTCAATGATGAGAAAGTGTTTCAGACTCCGCCACATCTTCACCATGCACATCAATAATCACGTCAGATTTTAAAAAAATATATATATATGTCACCAAATTTCTTCTTATTCCCTATACACCATCAAACCCACCATCAAATCACTTCCATTGTTGCTATAATCATCGAATTCACTTCTCCTCCACTATAGATTTCACCACCCATAATCAAATTCACCACCAAAATCTTCCTACAACCATTCCATCATAAAAAAATCGATAACTAACATAATAAATTTAACTAAATTCACCGTCAGAACCATATCACTATCATTGAAGTTCATCACAATCATAAGCATAAATTCACCATCCACATCAAAATCACAATTTTCATTATCATTATCAAAATTAAAATTCCTACCACCTCTAATTTTTCACCCATCACCAAACCTACCACAAAAAATTATCACAATACACAAATTTTATTCAAGCTAAAAGAGGAGAATTATGAAAATTTGCAATATTTGTTTCCAAATATTTTAGTCAGACAATTGAAAAACTAGCGCGTCCATTTACTATTACTGATTTTGAAGAAAATCTGGAGAGGAGTTTTTCTGAGAGAGAAAAAAGATTTATGAATATACATTAAAAATTGAATTATGTGCAAAAATACAGAAACTTTTTAAACACACAAAAAAACAAGAGCTGAAAATTTTCATATTACAAATGCTCACAATCAATAAAAAACACAAAAATTAATTGAATAATTTGTGCTTGATTTGAAGAATTTGATGTGGTAATAGTAATGATTGATTAATTTTAGAGATGTCTTTGACAAATTTTTTTTTCAAACAGTTAACCTAATTATGTGAACAACTTCGCAATCTTTGCGATGAATTTCTACTCCATAATGTTGTTTTCTATTTATCTCTTCAAAAATTTATCATGAAAAAATTATATTTTACATTAGCCATAGCAGAAAAGAGTGTTTGTGATAAGAAAAGAAATAGAGGAAGAAGAAAGGTAGCATAAGTGAAGCTAAGTAGAAGGGTGGGGGAGGGAAAAAGTTATCTTTTTTCAACTCAAATGCAGCTTATTTATTTTTTATTTAATTTTATTTTCATGTCAGCTTTGAAGATGATATTAAATTTACTTTTGAGTAGTATTAATAGGTCATCTCAACAATTTAAGTGTGTAACTAACTTTTTCATAAAACTTTTGGGAGGAATTTATGTCTTTTATCTTAATTTGATAAGGTCTTCTTACATGAGTCAAACTCATATAAATTAGGGTACAAAAGTTGAACCATACATGTGAAAAAAAGGAAAGCTTTAGCTATACCTTTATGCACACATAAAATTCAATAATCACAAAGGCAAGAAGGTGAAGATCTCAGATCGCAACTCAAGTTATTACGTGTTCATAGTATGATGCCAAAAATTAGTTCATGTAATAGGAGTATTTACTGAGTTTGTAGTAAGCCTCTATTCATTACTGAGATTGTAGTTGATGTTGTCTAGAGTTATTACTGAGTTGGAATAAGCTTCTATTCATTACTGAGATTGTAGTTGATGTTGTCTAGAGTTATTACCGAGTTGTAATAATTTGTAGATAGAAGAAAGTACGTAGTGGTGAGGTTGAGGTTTGTAACAAGAAGCGAATTTAACTTTTCAAGAATAGTTAGAATAGTTTGAGTGAATGGTTGTGTTGAAAAACAAGAGTTAGTTCTTTAGATTATTGAGTTGTAAAAATGTTGCTCGTGAGAAAATAGTGGAGATTGGTGGTTGAAAGCCTACATGTTGTAGGCCGTGAATTTTCACGAGTCCGAAGCCAAAAGGGTAAGAAAATTTGTTAAAAATCTAATTGGAAACAAAATAATTATAGAACCAAAAGGGCAACTTTCTGACGGAGAATTTGACGACGTTTAAATCAGGGAAGCCGGAGCAAGGAATGGATTTTCATGTTCCTTGCAAGGCGCAGTTGACATGAGCCTTGTAAGGCTCAACCGTCATGTGCCTTTCAAGGCGCATAGAAATCAACGCCTCGTGGAATTTTTTTTAAAAATAATTTTTTGTTCAGTTGATATAAATTGATTACTTTTTAAAATATACTACTGCGCTTAATTTTAGAATAAAAAAATTAATTTCAATTTTCATATTTCTTTACCCTTTTCATCTATATTCTTACCCATCCCTTCAAACACCCAAAGTACCGTTTTCACCATCACTAGAACACCATAAGTCCATCGAAACTGGGTCTTTAAGGAAGAAAGGTGAATAATAATTTCAGAGCTCGTCTTGAGATATTCTGGCTTTGCTCTTTTGAAACCTAAAAATGGGGGAGAAAGGATGAACATAGTAGAATACTGACATCAATGGTGGTCACTGAATGTAACGAATCTTCTCAAGGAATATAAGGAGAAGGAGCCTACAATGTCTTCCATATCATCATTGATGGAGACACCAATTTCAAGGCAAGACTGATTCTACGACAATTGATAATTAATGAGATTAATAGCGACAATTCGCAGATATATTTGACTGATTGAGATTTGAGGTTGATAAATAAACGATCTATTAATAAAAAAATATTTTTTTGGTGGGTTCAATTGGATTTGAAAGTAAACCCATATTAATTTTGCTCAAATCAGATCAGAAGTATTTTGGACTGATATAAATATATGAAACCTATCTAGAATTGATTTAGGTTGATTGATTTTGCAAGAGTTTTGCATGAGTTTGAAATTTTTTTTAAGAATCAACAACAGTGAATCCGGTGAAGATGGTGGTGGCATCACTTAGAGGTGGTGAAAGATAGAGAGATTTGTTTATACTGCTGGATAAGAAAGAAAACAAATAGGAAAAATACATAATTATAAATGCATATATTTATTGAAAAGAGATATTAAAATACAGTTTTAATAATAGTTTATGATGTTCACTCTCCCAAAGAGAGTGAAATATACTCACTAGGCCAGCTAAGCATTTTGGAGAGGTAATAATTCAGTTATAAACAGCAAGGGAGGGGGGGGGTGATAGGTCCTCGATAAAATTAAAGTGTGTAGTTGAAGGGCATTGGATCAGAATTGGAATTTGTTGTTCGATGCTTGAGGGCATATGAGCTTGTTTGTTTAGATTGTCAAGAGCATTATCGACCAAATCGGGTAGCAATGCAATTTGGATATGATCAAGATTTACCTAAATAGATTCCTCAATCGCCTTCAAGTCCAGAACCTATTGATTCTAATTTGAGGTTACACTATCCGTCTAGGCTGTTTGAATCGGATGTAACTACACATTATTTGAAATGGTGGAGAATAGACAATTATTTTTAGATGATACATTGAAAGGATTGTCTCTAATACAAAGCTAATTAATCACTGGAAGTCAAGTGAGAATAAGGGGACGACTCTTCCTAGATTTCATTAAATAAATTAATGAGTGATACTTCTCAATTATATTTGTACGATGTGTCTTTTCTAGATTTACCCATAGCTACGAATTCCCTCATTTGGACAAAATAACTCGTTCCCTTCATTTCACTAACTTTCCTATTTACTCATTAATTAGGGGAGCGGTGTTAGTCATCATTTTAAACCTTTAATATAATGCTCCAAGGAATGTGTGTGTGTATATATATATATATATATATATATATTAATCACTTCTATAGAGAAGCTAGCTTTGTTACTGGTAAACTAGCTAGCATTAGAGAGGAACCTTCTTGGAGGATACGGTTTATCTAATCTTTTGTGTTATGATATAGCATTGATTTGGTCCATCAGGTGCGGAAGGCCATCCTCCTACATATTTAATTAATTACTAAATAAAATAAAATGAAATTATATATTAATGGTTCAATTTGAATGGTTATACACATACCAGTAGTTTCATGGGAGGTTTGGGCAAAGAAAGCAGCAATTTCCCTTTTACGGGCATTGATATCACCACTTGTACCAAAGCCAGGAAAAGACCTAGAAGCAGTGATAAAGGGATTGTAACTGTAGAAATTATTCTTTCCTTGACAAGAATTTTCGTTACGATGCTTAAGCATTTGATCAAACATAGAATTTGAGGTGACGCTTCCGAGGTCCCCACCAGTAACAGGACTAGGGCCGCCACCTGGACACTGACTTTCACAATTGCCAGAACCACAATGGTGATTGGTCTTACCGCACCACCCGAATTTGCTGCAACATTGTCCCGATGCACAAACTTTGCCTCCGCCCTGTGAACCACAATTCTGCGCCGAGGCAGCACTCAGCAAAACCAGAGAAAATAGTAAAGAAAAAGTAGTGAATTTAGAAGTTTTCCTCATTCTCAATGTGATGGCAAACATGTTGCAAACTGAAAGCTATTTATAGGCTAGTGGTTGTGAGGAATCAGTGATTTTTGTGACAAAATTGATAGTCCGTCCTGTCGTATCCAGAATTTATTCAGTTATAAGTACATTGAAAATTAAACTTATATTGAATGACCGCTATACTTCCCTAATATTTACGTGGGTATAAATATTTGAAACTAAAAGAGACGGGCGGCTTTGGACGTTATTCCAGAATTTTCTCTACATAATTTGGACTGGAGACTATAGTTGATGGATATTTTTTGTTTACTCTTATTAAATTTACCTATTAAATAAAAACTGTACTACAAATTATAATATTCATAGTTAGAGTAAATTAAATTTGTAGTGGAAAACTATGTAACTCGTCGAATAGCAATATCTCTCAAGTAATGTTCAATCACCTCTTAGACTAATGTCACGTGGATCATAAATAATTTATTGTTGAGATTTAGTTCAAATCTCACTTAACAAAAGAGTCAAAAATGGTAAAAGTAAAGCTAAAGGTTGGACTGGTTTCTATGTAGGTTGAAGTTAGTTCGGTTGGAATGAAAATAGTCATCGTTTTCTAACTAGTTTTGCCTTTTTTATTTTGTTGCTTGTTGAGAACTGTGTTGTTTGGTCATCATTCCTTGCTTTTACACTTGCATAGTTTCGAGTTTGAGTCTATTTGCTCTATTTGAGAAACAAAGATATCGACATAAATACTTTGACTAAATTTTGCATGATTATTGATGACATTTTCAAATTAAAGTAATTATATAAGGTAGTAGCTGGTGCTAGAAGAAATAGGGCCGGCTGGGTCAAAGTTACGTAATTTGAAAGTGTATACTTTGGGCTGCTAGTTCTACTCTTCCCCTTTAACTCCATGCTTACAAATTAGGTCATTACTGGGATTGTGGTTGATTTTGTTCTAGAGTTATCATGAAAGTACAATGAATTTGTTTAAATGAAATTAATAACTCAATAAAAATTACTAAGATAGAGAAATTTGAAATTTATGAATTATGAATTTATATGTATTCAGACTTCAAAGATTTCTTAATACGGATAAAGAATTTTGGCAAAATTTAATACTATATTGTGATTTCTGAGTAATACTAGTGGGGAGTCGCCCGTGCGCCCAATATTTATTTTGTTGTGATGAACTTTAATTTCTTAGTGAACTACAAAATAGTGGTAATGTGCAATTAAATTGAATTTGTGTGGCTAGTTCATATAACATAGCCACCAAGTTGAGCATAAAATCCATCAGAACACATTAATGAAGACATTGGGTGTGTTTGGTATGTGGGAAAACATTTTCTAAAATAACTAGATTTTGATTTATTTTCTCATATTTGGTTGGTGAATAGAAATTTTTTCCGGAAAAGAGTGTTTGGTTTTTGAATAAGTAAAAAATGTTTTTGCGATTTATCTTTTATTTTTACTAGAGTAGAAAATAAAATTTTGAAAATATTTTTTAAAAACAAACTTAAATAGTTTTGTTGGGGGGTGGGGGTGGGGTGGTGTTTGGGGAAGGCGGGGGGGGGGGGGGGGGGTAAGGGTGAAATGAAATTTTGAAGTAGAAATTATTTTTTAACAACAATCTTAAAAAAAAAAATTGGGATGGGAGTGTGGGTGGGGGGTCGAGGTTAGGGGTGAAAAAATGCAGACTTTCTTTTTTCATTTTGAAGCTACGTTATGACATTATATGCTAGCATATTTTTTCTGAACAAGCAGTAATTCTCTATTCTATTTGGGTCTTGAGACCTGTTGACAATGTGCTCCTCATGAAGTTCGTGGATTTATTAAGATATGTGTCACCCCCTTGATGAAACAAGAGAAATAACTCTTTCATCTTTCGTCTTCCAGTCCTCGCTCCTCTTAATAACGACGTATATTTTATGTCATATATATTGACTAAGCTTGGATCTGTAGTGAGTTGATATGACTAATGTACTTAAAAATTGGTTTCTAAGAATAAATATTTAAAAATCATACATTTAATATCAAATTGTCATAGACTCTAATGAAGAAGCATTATTCAAATTACCAACTTGCATCAGACTATATTTTACTATGTTCCCCCTTTTTCATACCATCTATGAATGTATTATTTGATATCTATTCCACCCTTCAGAAAAGAAGGTGCTCACTGAAATACAACATTTGTTCCCAACACTGACAAGATAATATCATAAGGAAATATAGATTCATTGCGATGCTTAAGCATTTGATCAAACATGGAATTTAATAAAGTGAGTATTGATCATTTTTAAACGGTCATAACTACTAGATCACGATGAGTTAGATGTTCTTATAGGTATTGGTGGAAAGATCTTGGAATAATCTTTTCAACACCCTCCAAGTTTGCACGATTTCGATATCGTATAAGTGAGTTATGTCTTTCAGAAGTTGGGCTGTTGGATTGAGGAAAATCTTAATCCAAATTTAGGGAAAGGCAAACTAGTCTTTTCATCAAAATAATTTCCTATTTTGCTTTAGTGGTTTATTGGGGTAAAAACAAGTCTTAGATCAGTTTGGAAAAGTTAGAATTATGCTTGGGGCTTAGAGAAAAGAGAATAGAAGAAAACAAAGGGAGAGTAGTCAAGAATTCGCCAAGAATGTCTAGTTTTGTGAGTGGAATTCGTCGGGGTGAATCTCTATCAAGGTATGTGATATCTTTTAGTGTTGGGTCAGTTCACCCACACACCAAACTTGTTTCAATTCATTGACTTTCTAGTTGGTTGAATGAAAAAAATGTGAAGTTCTTGAAGAACATTGTTGAATCCTTGTTGGTTGAGTTGTTGAATGGCTTGTGTTTATTTGATTAGTGTTTCGGTGCCCAGCTGAAATTTTGGGGAACACAATTAAATACAAAAATTTGAACTAGTCCGAGCTGACATCAATGCGTCATAGCGTTTGGGTCCAATTTTCACCCTCTTGGGTAAAGAAACCTCTACCTTGGTTAGACATCCCCACACTTTGAAATATTCTAAGTTGGGTTTCCCTCCTTTTCATAATTCATATGAAATTGATTGCATTTTGCTTCATGGTAACTTATTGAGTAGCTTATTAGCCGTAAGGATGACTTCCCCCCAAAGGTTTCATGGTGAACCAGAATTAATTATCAAGGCACTCATCATTTCCTTTAATATTCTGTTCTCTATTCTGCCAAACCATTTGACTGTTATAGGGTGCAGTAATTTAAATAATAATATCATATTTTTAACGTATCTCTGCAAAAGGAGATTCGTATTCTCCACTCATATCACTCTGAATCATTTTTATCTTTATATTCAATTGATTCTCTACTTCATTTTTGTAATGCTTAAATGCATCAATTGTTTTATCCTTACTGTTAAGAAAATACACATAAAAATTTGAGTGCAGGCTTCACTAAATGTTATAAATACTTTTTCCCACCACGAAATGGTGTCGACTTCATATGACATATATCTGTTTGAGTTAAGTCTAGAGGTTTAGAATTTCTTTTAACAGACTCATAAGGATGTTTAACAAACTTACTTTCTACACAAATTTTGCATTTCAATTTATTGCATTTAAAATCAGGCAATACTTCTAAAGTAATCAATTTCCGCAAGGCTTTGTAATTTACATATCCCAAATATTCATACCATAAATCATTTGACTCGAATAAGTAAACAAATGCAGAATTCTTATTAAAACTATCAATAACCATTAGATTCAGTTAGAAGAGACTCTCAGTGAGATAGCCCTTTCCTAAGAACATCTCATTCTTACTTATTACATCTTTGTGACTGACCACGACACACTTAAACTCGTTCTTAACGAGTAGTGCTGCAGAAACTAAATTCTTCCTAATATTAGGAACATGCAGAACATTGCTCAAAGTCAACACATTGCTGAATATCATTTTCAATGTTACTTATCCAGTTCCTACAATCTTTGTTGTTGTCGTATTCCCAATATATAAATATCCATCGAACTCAGCAAGAGCGAAAATCGTAAATGCTTCTTTCGCTGAGCAAATATGTTGAGTGGCACTTGAGTCGAGAAACCACTCCTTGGGATTTCCAACTAAGTGGCACTTTGAGATCATTGCAAAAAGGTCATTTGAATCTTCAATCTTTTCGACAATGTTTATATGACTTTTGACTTTGTCTTTGTCTTTGTATTTATCCTTTTTTGGAGCACGACAGCCAGAAGACTTGTGATCACTCTTACCGTAGTTGTAACAGTTGCCTTTGAATTTCTTCTTGGTTTGTTCTGACTTTTGTCCATTGGACTTCTTTCTCTTCTTCCCTTTGGTAGGAGCTTCTTCAACAATAATAACTCATATTATTGTCGAACTCTTACGAGACTTCTTTTCTGTGGTCTTATTATCTTCCTCAATCTTGAGCCAATCACAAGATCTTCAAGCTTCATTTTCTTACATTTGTGCTTTAGATAATTTTTGAAGTCATTCCATGAAGGAGGTAACTTCTCAATCGTTGCAGTTACTTGAAGCGCTTCATTAACTACCATATCCTCAACTATCAGATAATGAAAATAAATTGAAGTTTCTGCTCTTGTGATCCAATGACTTTACTATATGACATTTTGTAGTCTAAAAACTTTGCGACCACAAACTTTTTCAAGCATGCATCTTTTGTATTATATTTCTTCTCAAGTGCATCCCACAACTCTTTCGAAGTTGACATTACACTATAGACATTATATAGGTCATCCTCTAAAGCACTTAGAATGTAGCTTTTACATAGGAAGTCTACCCGTTTTCATGCTTCAATGATCATGAACTTTTTATGTCTTACATATCAGTAGTAGGCACTGGATTTTCTTCGTTGATAAATTTCTGCAGACCAAGAGCGGTAAGATAGAAAAATACCCGTTGTTGCCATCCTTTGAAATTCACATCACAGAATTTTCTCGATTTCATTGGTGGTACAGCAGTTCGGGATGGTGCATCCACTGTGACTGTCACATTATTGTTTGCCATTTCAAAATCTGTA